GGAGTGAGGCCTCTCTGGTTGGTGATGCATGTCAATAAGCTGGGAGGGTGACACCTCCTTGGGACATGTTCGGGCACCCCCCAGACCTCACCTCTGGGTCTCTTCTTTTCGCTGGTTTGTATTCCTTTATAACAAAACTGTAACAGTAAGTAGAGAAATCTCCTGAGTTCTCTGAGTCATTCTAGCAAATTATTGAACCTGAAGGATACTGAGAATCCCTTGAATTTGTAACCATCAGGTCACAGTGAGGATGGCCCGGGAACCCTGGAACTTAGGTCGGGTGCCTGAATTGAGGACAATGCTCTTAAACTGGGAAATCGGAACTGATGCCGGCGAGTTATTTCTAGAATCGCACTGCTCCAGGCATTGAGGTCACCCAGGCAGTGGCCATGGCTGCCCTGACATACCTCAGGGGGAGACGACCCTTCCAAAGGTCCAAGAAATGACATTTTCACTTTGGTGGATGAGAAGGTAAATGGGCCAGTAAGAGAAGGTAAATGGTAACTTTTTTTCTTGTTTTAATATTTTTATTTATTTTTGAGAAAGAGAGAGAGAGGGAGGGAGGGAGAATGCATGCATGTCAGTGGGGAGGGGCACAGAGAGAAGGGACAGAGGATAGGAAGCAGGCTTCATGCTTATAGCAGTGAACCTGACGCGGATCTCAAAATCACGAACCCTGAAATCATGACCTGAGACGAAGTAGGATGCTCAACCAACTAAGCCTCCCAGGCGCCCCTAAATCTAACTCTCTTGACTAACTGAAAGACGAGAATTCTAAGAGGTGGCTGTGTGAGCCACAGGAGCTGGCTAAGTCTGCAGAATTGAAAAGTCTCAAGAGTCAAGAAGAGGTCTCAACGGTCAGATCATAGGTGGTTGTCTTGAGGCAAACGTGTCAGGATGCAAAACTCTATTAGGGATGTGATGGAGGCAACTGGTAATTTAGGTTGATTGCTGATTTCCTGGTACAGAGAAGGTAAAACACAACATGTGCAGATTGCTTTATTTTGATGACAGAAGTCTGAAAGGTGACATTTCTTGCATGTTACCCTCTAGAGAGAGCCCCTATACAAAGACGTTCTCATTGATAAAAGAAGGCAAAATTGGACGGTGTGTATTTCTCTAAATCTCACTTCAAATGAGACGATCACTGGTGGCACAAAAGTGTCAGTGATTCTGCACCCCCACATTAAAGTCGAGTGCGTGTTTCCAGGGAGAAGTGAGCATTGCCCGCCAAGAGTGTGCCTTCCCATATGGGCTGAGGAAGGTACGAGAAGCAAGTTTTGGGGCGGCAGCAGTAAATCACAGAACTGCTCTCTGCACTCCGAAAACGTAAACAACGCTTTCTCCACGCTGGGGCATCCAAACCCACAAAAACACGCCATTGCTCTTGGCTGCCTGAGAAACGATCACCTTCTCATCTGCTTGTATGAGAAGCTCGCCAGGCCCGCTCCCCTTCACTCTGCATGCGTTAAGTCCCAGACCCTTAAACGGTCAGCTGAGAGTCTGTGAAGCCTCCTCCAGGTACCCCAAGCCTCTCCCAGGGCTGCTTCCTGTGCCTCCAACGACAAACCTCATCCCTGCCACACGGCCACGTCCCTATCACCCCGCAGGCCACCTGTGCACACCAGTGTCAGGAATGCAAAGACACAGTAGGCGCTCAACGAGGGCATACTTAAGTCCAACAGCAATCTGGGAAGTGGAGTCAGAAGGCTCAACAAAGACCCTTCATTATTTTAGATTCCGGAGGGGCTCCTTGTTACTGTTCCTCACAGCACAACACGGGAGAAACATCAGACTCGGTTCTTTTTTGGAAACACGTCTGAAGTCTACTTCCAAGGGAGTCTGATTTCTGTATGACAGTGCTTCAACTACAAAGCCCAGTAAAGCGGGCACAGACATCACAGGAATTTGGAAAATGGGAGAAGGCTACAGGGGGTTGGGAGACAGATGTCAATGTTAGCAGAAGGGAAAAAACCCACTAATAATTAGAAATTCCCCACAGTGCACAGGGCTGTGGATACGCTGGAGGGTCTCAGGCAGAAGAAGCAGGAGGGGCCCTTCAAGGAGGATGTAGGAGGGAACTGGGTGGGGTAGGGGTGAGTACAGAAGGGAGAACTTGGGGGTAGAGAATGACTGCGGGAGGGGACTCCGCGGGGCAAGGGGGAGGCTACCCAGCAAATTCCTTGTAATCATATGACTCATTAACAGCAGGGTCTGGGGAGGTCACTTTTCTTTTTCTTGGAATACCTACTGCGTCAGGCACATTATCTCAGTCAATCTCTACAACTCTCCCTGAGAGGTATTCATTATCAACCCCACTGTCTAGATGAGGAAGCAAAGAAATGAATTCAATTATGTTGGACCCAAAGCTTATCCTCTTTGTCACCGCATCAAAGCCACTGATCATCATTTAACCGTATTTCCTCGGCAAGCAACGACCCACAACATCTAACACACACATGCATCACTGAAGACTTAGCAAGTAACACCTAGGGAATATTTGCCCAAAGAATAGCGCCCAAAGTGATTAAGTCCATGCATCAGGCTTCTTAGGAAAGGACCTAAAAGCCAACTTGTAGTATCTTAGGCATGCTCTGTGACAAGTCTGTCAGGGTCTATAGACAGAGCATGGGCCGAAGGATGCCAGTCAGTGGAGACACACATGTAGCCACCTTGCTCCCGCCAACCATGTCTCAGCTTGTGGCCAATGCTTCAGGTCATTCGCTGAAAACTGTTCCACTCTCATGTCCAGCCACCATTTTCAAGCAGGTGATATCATTATAAAGTTTTTATAAAATCTTTATAAAATCATTATAAAGTTTACAGTGCTCACTACATACACTCCCAACCGTGAGTTTCTTGGTATAGAACAGAATTCCACATGGAGCTCTGAACTTGTAGTCCAAGCAGATGGGCTAATATCTTAAAAACCCAGAAAACGTGGAGCACCTGGGTGGCTCAGCTGGTGAAGCGTCCAACTCTTGGTTTTGGCTCGGGTCATGATCTCTGAGTTCATGAGATTGAGCCCCATGCCGGGCTCTGTGCTGATAGCCACCTGGTGGAGCCTGCTTGGGATTCTTTCTCCCCCTCTCTCTATGCCTCTCTCTCAAAATAAAAAAAAACGTTAAAATAGCCCCCAGAAAATTCCTAATTCCAATTACTCTGCTGGGAATAAAAGCCTCTCAGGTCAGGGGGGAGACATGTGGCACTCAGCCCTGGAGAAAAGACAACACAGAACTGGGTCTGGAAGGCAAATCCTGGCTTCTCCAGTTTGGGGCAGGTGCACAAGGGGCTGGTCCAACTCAGAGGCAACTATCATTCATCCATCAATCAAAAGGGTGTTCTTGTTCTTGTGGTTCAATCTCGCCATTTCAGCAACGAGACTTATTTTTTGTCCAGAACACTGGGAACAACTTGAGGGCAATGGCTGGCTCTCAATATTTTTAGCATCCCAAGAATTAGGCTCTTAAGAGTTGCCAGATACATGACGGGTAAAAGTGCACACAGAAAGCCCAAGTCTAAGATAGTATGCATGGTGCTACGGGAGCGGTGTTTCTGAACTCTGGTGGGGTTGTCAACCCCACTACTCACAACAAAGCCCAACCTCTGTACAGTGTGAGGAGACCAGTCACAACACGGCCCAGTCTATCCTCCCACCCTGATGGCCCCACTTTCAGCACATTCCATATACACCAGACTGCATGCTATTTTCTAAAGGTATCACAATCCTTTTATAACCCCACGTACACCTTTGCATATGCTGTTCCTTCTTCCTGGCACGCCCCTGACCGCCCTTATGTACCAGGTAATTTCTTTTTGTGAGACCAACTTGTCACATGTCGCCTCTCTCCTGCAACTTTCCTCGACCTCTCGCCAGCCTTTGCTTTGGGCAGTCGGCCTGTGCTTTCACAGGGTGCAGGCTCCGTGCTGACTCCACGTCCACCTCTTCTGTGACGTGGGACAACTCACCTAACCAGTCTCAGTTTCCACATCTGTCCAGTGGGAACCTTCTCACACCATGGGATTTTGATGATGATCAAATATCAAGAGGATATGAAGTGTAAGGGGTGACACAGAGTCAGCGCTCAGTAGCTGTGAGCTCTGAGAGGACCCATTTGTGATTCTGCCTCTTAATCTAGAGTCCTCCCTGCTGTACCAAGTTGTCCGTGTAAAGACCTTAGAAATGCAACAAAGCACACTAAAAAGAATAGATACATAATATGGATTTCTGTAGCCTATAGGCAAGCATCCCATACAAATCTCTCCAGTCAGTAATCCCACAACTTAGTCTGCTTAAGTGAGGACCCGTTAAGTTCAGATGGACTGCGTGGAGGCAGTTGCTAGAAGGTACCAAGAGCAGGAGGAGCCTCCGACCTTCTCACAATGTACGTGATGGTTTCACAAGTAAAATAATCACCCTGACACAAGTATCAACCCTGAAAGATGGCATGCTGTCACCATCTCTGGTCGCTTAGTAGCTGGGTGATATCTCTGGCTGTGGAAACATTCCACCTGCAAACTGGTAAGGGAGATTTCCATATTAAACGACTGTCCCCAAGGCAACAGAAGCACATGCCGTGGGTGACCTTGCATCGCATTTTGCTTTGAACTTGAGAACCGGGAATGGAAATAACATTCACTGGAAAACAACAGAGCTTTGCTCTGCGCAAGCTGGGTGTCACCACCGAGCAGGTGCCGGGCAGTATTAGTTTTTATTCCTGCAAACACCACACAATGTTTTTCTTTCCCAAGGACGCTTGCCTGCACCTTCTGTCATGGAAAATGCAACTTCTCAATAAGCCTTCATTATGTAGATCTCTCGGTTTTCCTCTTAAAGGTCCCCGGGAAGGCCAATCGAAGATTATTTCCCATCTTTGCGTGGGAAACCACATATAATCAACCGAGAACTGGAGGAGTTTTCCTTGGAGGAACACAACAAGGAGGAATGTGTCATGGCTTCTCAGTGGCCCTAGGTGAGTCCCTGGAATCCTGAACTGTACCTTGGGGTTTCCTCCACCTTCTTTGGCTGCATACAGCATCTGGAGGGCAGATTCTGCGAGCGTCTTGGTCTGGTCCAGCACAGTCATCTGCTGCTGATGGTCCAGAATCTTGGAGGCGACACCAACTGCGGCCAAGATCAGGGGCTCGAAGTAGCTTGCCAGCTGTGTCACCTTTTAAGACAAAAAAAAAAAAAAAAAAAAAAAAAAAAAGCCACAGATACATCATGCAATCACATGTGTCTCCTTTAGGGGTCGCACTGGTGGGGAGGGAACTGGGATGATGCACAGGGAGAGACAGACGTGCTGAAATTTGCTTTTTACACAGGCGGAGACTTACTTTTTGTTTTTTTCTATTATTTAATATAATTCACTATCATGAATTACAGTCATCATGTTACACATTAGACCCTCAGACCTTATTCATCACTCAATTTTACTTTTAGAAGCACTTGCTCGTTAATGAACTCTTGCTTGGATTTTACTTCCTCTGGGGAGCTCTTCATCTCGTCTCTCATCAAGGCCCAAGTGTTAAGGAATTTGTTTCGTGATCCTGAGTTGGGCGTGAGCATTTTACAAATCTCACAAACTGTCAAGCTTTCAAAAGAACCAAAGAGGAGCATCTTAGGAACTCAGAAGAAAGGGGGACAGGAGCGGAGCAAGGGACCAAGGACCGCTGAGAAAAGAAGCCTGAGAGCAAAGGCTTTCGAGGAAGCCAATCCAACTGCTCTCTACCTGGAGCATTGTTGGCCTAACCATAGGTTTGGAATAAAAGCAAAAATGATTTCACATTGCCCTAGATGTTCTGTTTGTGATTAGTCCAGTCCAGGAGAAGAAAAAAGCCTAGCCAGATGGCTAACCACCATTCCTGCTTAGGCCTCTCCGGTAGGTAATGTCATGTTGCTTCTGTGCTCACGAGAACCCACCCACTGGGTGCCGCAGAGCCATATTTATTCATTTTTACTTACTTTTTTAATTAATTTATTTTATTTTTTATTAATCTTTAATGTTTTATTTTTTTGAGAGACAGGGAGTGAGAGTGTGTGAGTGGGGAGGCAAGGGAGGGGCAGAGAGAAAGGGAGTCACAGAATCCAAAGCAGGCTCCAGGCTCCGAGCTGTCAGCACAGAGTTCGATGCAGGGCTAAAACCTACACACACGAGATCATGACCTGAGCCAAAGTCGGACGCTCAACTGACTGGGCCACCAGACGCCCCTCAC